AAAATTTATAATAAATAAAATACGGACTCGCAGCTAAGCAACCCGACAGAGGTCGGTAGTGTTACTCCTGTCGACCCTTAAACCAAAAAAAGTTTTTTTTTTTAAACTCCCAAGCTCCCCTAGCTTGACGACCAATTTCTTTTTTAAACTCCCAAGCTCCCCTAGCTTGACGACCAATTTCAAAGAGTATATATAGACCTACGAAACAGGGGCCCGTGAGCACACCCTGTGTGACACGTTGTGGTTTCATACATATAACTTTAATAGAAATCAAAGTCACACCAATTGCTACGTGTGGAAGGACCACCAACAAATATTTTTTTTGAAATTAAATTTCAAAGGTGGTCAGCTGGATTCGAACCTGGATCCTCGCAGTTACGAATCTAGCACTTATGCTACTAGACCACACTGCCTCCCCGGTGTTCCAATTGATTCACTTCATTATGGGGACGGCGAGGCTCCGGACACACACTTTTTCGTAACAGTAACAGTAGGATTTCGACCAATCGCGTTGCTCGATTCGAAAACGTACGGCCGTACGTTCCCGAATCGAGTAACACGATTGGTCGAAATCCTACTGTTACTGTTACGAAAAAGTGTGTGTGGCCAGCTTTAAGCCGCTAGGGGCGCTAGTAAAGTTGGCTCCGTTCCGTTCTCCGTCCTCTTCTGCTATGTACTGACCTCGTGTTATTATGGTGGCTCGCGCGATGAGGTTAGCGCAATTGGCGCGTCTCGCCAATATTAACGTTGACGTTCTCGACAATTGATGACTCGCGTAGCGCGGCCATCGTAAGGATGTTCAACTTCCTGAAGACGCGGGCCGCCTCGATGCAGAATGCGCGTATTATGTCAACACGCTCAGCCGTCCAAACCTACCGGGCGCAACCTTGCTCGTTCTGCAATTTCCATCATCTGACCCCGCCTCGCGGTACGTGTCCGAGACGATCTTTAATTACGAATAATTGCGAGTAACATATTGTCATTTTGCGAGCTCGGTCCTTCCTTACCTCGTTACAGCTCTTACCTTTTCGCAACTTTTCTTTTTTCTGATATCGGTCGTAAGGAAAGATTTGTACACTTTATCGTGTATTCCACTCTGACTTTTCTACATATTAATTGGTATAACGTGACAATGTCATAAATTAACAAAAGCTTTAATCAATTTTTCTTGGCTAGATGTTTATGTATGTATACATATTTATAGCTCAAAATATTTCAGACATAAATAGACCTTGTCATAAAGATTGAATGGGATACTGAGGAATTGTATCTGTTTTTCTACCTGAACTTTGTAATAATTTATTTTGTATACTTTCAGCAATGAGATGTATGGTGATACGCTGTTATGCAACAACTGATACAGTAGAACTACAAGCCACCTTGCAAAAGAAGAAAGTTAAACGTCGCTCGAAGAAATACGCAGAATTATTGGAAGGTATGCCAGTGTAGAGAACAAAGTACACAAAAAGTGACATGTATCTATTTAATAATGAAGAAGTGAGCAATTGATAAATAATAAGTAACTGATCATCTTTTATCGTTACTGATACTAGTCACTGATCAGACGACTAGCAACAGAAAAGCAGCGATCCGCAAATTGAGCTCTGCTCAGGTGTCTCTCTTGGTTGGTCAGCCTAATATTACGCTAGACAAGTTGCACAAGATTTCTAATTTTCATCTTAAGAAGGAGACGATTACGACACAAACAAAGGATACCAATGAAAAGACTCGGCTTGAGAAGGATTTGACTTATATGGTAAATAGATCAAGTTTTATGATGATGTATCTCGAAGAACAAAATTGGAATTAAATTATGTAAGAATTATTTCTGAGTAGAGATAGTCAGATATATTAATGTCGGAGAATATAATTTAAATATCATGATAGTCGAATCACCTGCAGAAATTGATGTATCAATTTTAGGACGGCAAGGTAGACAATACAGATTGCGCCATACTTAAGGAATCTGAGCAATTAGACGAGCAATTAGACGCATCTGCAGTCGTAGAGAATTTGAAAGAATCTGGAACAAATGATCACACTATGTTAATTAAGGATTCTTCTTTCTTGAATATGCTGCAGCAAGATGACAAAAATGAGGCCAAAGATACAAATCAGGATAGCATGCTGTAAGTATGATTAATTGGATAATCTGTAGGAGAGATTCCTTATCTTATATCATGTGCACAATTCGTTTTTTCAGTATGCAGACACCAAAATACAACGTGACTTCAAATTCATATGCTACAATTCCCTTTACGAATGAGGCAGATCAATCCGAGAAGCGTCTTTCCGATCACAATCTGATTTCTCAATTATTAGCGCATATGGACATTTATGTACAAATCAACATGCCGCATAAGGCCTTCAAGTTACTGATGTTGAACAAAAGCCATCTCAAGCATAGCAAAGTCTTTACTGCCGCTCTGTATAATGTGCTTCTGAATACCCATGTCTCTAATGCGCATGTGGAAAAGGCATTCGAAATTTACAGAATAATGAAGGTGGATTCTGTCAAGCCAAACTACCAAACGTACGCTTTCATGTTCGAGATAATCGGAAGAATAAGAAACCAAGAGAAACGAGCAGGTAAATGGGGATTATCAATATGGCTTTAAAAAATAATATACACATAGGGCGAGAAAAAAGCAAGTCTCAAATTTAAAAAAATGTTAGGACTTGCAAATATATAAAAAACTAAGCATTTTTTTTAAGAAACTGTTTAGGCAAATTTTCTAAGAAGGAAATGTAATGCACGCAATGCATTTTTTACATAGTCGGATTTTTTATGAAGTTAACATCATTGACAATGTTTTTCAATAAATTCAGAATATCTTTCTAAAATAATTTGTGATTTTTCTTATTCTATATATAATGATATATTTGATATATAATGATATATTCGATATATTGTAATATTTCTAAATTCTACACACATGTGCAGAGATAATCGTATAGATAATGAAAGATCTTGATAAGAAGATTTCAAGCATAGATATTTTTTTGGATCTTACAATAATTTTATAATTGTTACAATTTGAGTTGATTGTTACAATCTTCTCCTTACAGAGAGTGCAGCAGAAGTGATGGCAGACATGAGCCGCGATGGTGTCTCTTTTGATGAAGTAATGAACGTGCAAATGAACGCGACGCAACGTAATACTGTTCTTCAGTGTATTAGATTATTAGATTCGCAATACCGTATACAGCACGAAGACATAGACACCGCGTACAGCTGCAATCTACTGAAGAATCTGACGATGAACAATGATTATCAGAGTCCGGCGAAGGGAGTAGTGACCATGAACGAACTGCGGGAAATGATGCGTATGCAGATTGACTTAGAGAATCAGTGTAAGGTGCCGGTAAAGAGTGTCGCATTGTTCACTGGAAATCCTAATGTTAGACAACAAGCTATCAAACGGATCACGGAATGGGAGGAAACTTGGAAGTCGACTGTAACCGAGGCTTTCGAGAGAAACTTGACTTATCTGAAGCAGAAGGAAACAAAGATGAAGACCGATCTAAAGATTTTGTATCCATTTCTACAAGTGTTACCCAAGGAGGAGTATGTCAATGCGATTTTGAGCGAAATCGACCATTTGACCAAATTCTCCGAGGGATACAGTTGTACTATGACATATCTTTACCTAACGCTAGGAATGCATATTTACAAGAGATACGAGTTTCACCGAAAGATGAAGGGTGGTATCGTAGAGAATTCCATTCAAACCTATAAGAAATATTTGGAGTGGTACATGCAGGAGGATCCCATTGAAAGGAGCAGCAACGGGCGTATGAAGTGGCAACAACTCGTCCAGGAGGCCAAAAAGTCTGGTATTTGTTGCGAAATGACAGTGCCAGAGTGGTCTCATAACACTATGATAAACGTTGGCAAGTTTTTATACAATATCATCGTGAACGATGTGAAGATACCACACGTGTCTAAGCCTGGCGCGCCCGAACGACAGATACCCGCGTTCTACCTGCTCTTCAGGCTCCATTCCAACAAGTTCTTGATGGAGGAAATTAAGCCTCACCCTTACTTACACAGGTTCTACAAAGACTCGCATCCGGAGATTCTGTCCTTCGACACAATTTCCTTGCCGACATGCTCTCCGCCGCGTCCTTGGGTCGACGTAAACACCGGTGGTTATCTGCTCTCCAAGGTGCCGTTTGTTCGCGATCCCTACATGAAACCGTCGCGCCTTTTGAGAAGCACGTCGACGAAGCAGCTTTATCCAGCGTTTGACTGCTTGAATCAACTCGGTTCGATCCCATGGAGGATCAATGTGCCCGTATTGGATATCTTGATTCAGATTTTTAGAGAGGGCGGCTCGAAGGAGTTGAATGTACCTCAACCCTCCACAGTAGTCCCACCTTCGTCGGAGGTGATCGCGAACGAAACGGAGAAGAATGCTAGAGAGATCGCAAAGCTGCTGCTTCAACTCAAGCGCACGAGAAATGAAATGCACGCGCTATGGTGTGACTGCCTCTACAAATTGTCTATCGCTGATCACTTTAGGGACAAGGTATTCTGGATGCCGCATAATCTGGACTTCAGGGGTAGGGCATATCCGGTGCCGCCTCATCTGACCCATCTCAGTTCGGACCTAGGTCGCTCGATCCTCATGTTCGCCCAGGGTAAGCCCTTGGGCCCTAAGGGTCTGGACTGGTTGAAGATTCACGCGATAAACATGACTGGTTTGAAGAAGAGGGAGCCGATGCACAAACGGCTAGAGTTCGCGAATGAGATACTGGACCTGATCGTGGACAGTGCGAGGAAACCCCTGACGGGAGAAATGTGGTGGACCAAGGCCGACGAACCGTGGCAGACTCTGGCGGCGTGCAAAGAGATAGATAATGCTCTACAATCCCCGAACGTGGAGGAGTATGTCTGCCGGCTTCCCGTTCATCAAGACGGTAGTTGCAACGGTTTGCAGCATTATGCCGCGCTCGGGAGAGATGAGATAGGAGCGAAGAGCGTGAACTTGTATCCTTCGGACAGGCCGCAGGACGTGTACAGTGTCGTCGCTGGTATGGTTGATGAGTACAGGAAGATCGACGCGGACGCCGGCAACGAAATAGCGAAGGCTCTGGAAGGACACGTCAGTAGGAAGGTCATGAAACAGACTGTGATGACCACGGTGTACGGCGTGACGAAGTTCGGCGCTAGACTACAGATCGCCAGACAGCTCAGCGATTTGAAAGATTTTGATCAGAAGTACGTTTGGAGCGGCAGCATGTACCTGGTTGAAAAGACGTTTATGTCTCTCCAGAGCATGTTTGAGAGCGCGAAGGAAATACAGAATTGGTTTACGGATTGCGCTCGCGTTGTCACGATCAGGTGCAACCAATACATGCAGTGGGTGACGCCATTAGGTCTTCCGGTCATACAGCCCTATTCCAAGCACAATAAGGCAATCAATCCGAGAGTCAAGGTTTTTAGGTGAGCGCACTAACGCTCGTGTTTACACGTTTCGTTATATTTTCATATTTCTCATTGTTCCTTCTATATGATCAAATGGAAAACGCAAGAATTCTTGTTTCTAAATATCAGTTAATTCTTGGACCTTTTCGGAACTATCTCTTGTATTTACTTTTATATCATATCTTTTTTTAAATAAAATTTATGCGATACAAATACCATTTACAGGAAGTTGGACACTGTGAAGCAAAAGAATGCCTTTGCGCCGAATTTCATTCACTCGTTGGACTCCTGCCACATGATGTTAACGAGCTTATACTCCGAACAGACGGGGATCACGTTTATGTCAGTGCACGATTGTTTCTGGACACATCCGTGCACGGTGGATATTATGAACAGAGTAAGAATTTATCATGGAGATACATATATACTGCTGTAAATATTTCCGTATAAAACCTCAACGCGCAATGTCTCTTGCTTTTCAGATTTGCCGGGAGCAATTTATCGCGCTCCACAGCGAACCCATTCTCGAAGATTTGTCCGAGTTCTTCTGTAAGAAATACGTAAAGCACTTCACGAGCGATGGGCGGTAAGTTTGTTGCGTGTCTTTTAAAGCTTTGAATATTGAAAAATGTATTGGTTGGAAATCCAAAACCGCGAATTGCAAAACAAGAAGCAAGGTGAGATGTGGTTGATGCGTTTTGTTAAGATCGTTTAATTGAAATTTTAGGCCTCTGAAGCTGAGGAACAATGATGTCTCGTTAGAGGTCTTCAAGAAAGTGCCGCAGAAGGGTAACTTCGATATCAACACAATCCTATCGTCTCAATATTTCTTTAGTTGAAACGTAGCTGTATTTATTGCAAGAAAATGTACCATACGTAAATGTGTAAACTACTGTAAAGTTTTAACATATGAATTGGCTCTGATGTGCATTGCATAAACAGCCAGACATAATGTTAAGATATGTAAAATAACTCCTAGGACAATATGTAAATAGTTCGCTAGGACAATACATTTTTAAAACTTCAAAAATGCTTTATATAATACAAAACACCTCTACTTCGCACGTTTATGCTCGATTCAAAAATGAGATAAAAAAAAAGGTTTGATAACTGTTGACTGGTATTAAAAATCTGATTTTATATTCAATTTTTATTTAAATGCAGTTGTATTTGTAGCAAAATGGGAACGTATTGCTTTCATCTGATAATGCATAATTTTATTTTATTTAACTTGGTACTAGTACTAAGGAAAAGGTATATGTATATAAGCAATATTTTTAAAGGCCGTCCTGCTTGTACCGAATGTCATTGCGATTAAATGCATTTTGGACTTTGGATTTTCTTAGTTATAAATTAAATATTGGTTATTATTTTAAGTTTTAACTAACATCCGTTAGAAACAGATCAACCTATAGAGGCCCTCCCCGTCAATTCCGATTGACGGTCCTCTTTTCTTTAGAATATGTTTTTTACAATTTTATCATTTAGGTATTTTATTTTCTTTAGAATTTGTTTTACAATATGTACGTACAACATTATAAAAGAGTTACACATACAAAATTGAAAATATAATATACAATATACAATAATATACAACAAAATTTCATACAATATTCCTTATGATAAAATTATACATGTAACATTCGGTACAATCACGGTTTTATTGTACCGTGGGTACAATAAAACGAAATTATCACAATGTAAAACATGTGAATTTAGGCATATGTAAGATATAAATATTAAACTGATCCTCAACCAATTACAATCGAGAATATATTTATATCTTATATGTATCGATAAATATTAACTTATTTTATATATTATATATTAATATATTTATATTTTATATATAAATATCTAATAGCCCTCTCTCCCTCTCTCACTTTTTCTCTTTTCGACAATGCTGACATCATCATTTTGGTCGCGTCTGTGCTGCATCTGCAAACTGCAAATGTATACATCATATACTATTATTATATTGCATTTGTAGAATTGTAGATGTAGCACGGACGCGCACCAAAATGATGTTTTATCGATAGTGTCGGCTAAATGAACGTGGCTACGTAGTACCAATTTCGAAAATGGATGTACTGGCGGTAGTGTACAGGAGCTAACAGCTGACAGGAGCTTTCGACACTCGACTGACTGACTGACTCGACAGTCCCTGAGAACAGTCCCACGAAACGAAAAAGACCGGGATGGCCTCTCTCAGGTTTCTCTCTGGTCTTATTCTTCAATTGTAAAATTTAGGATATTTTATTTCAGGATAGATTACAAAACTCAATAGACCAGATATAAGACAGATAAGAATGGATGAAACGGAGCACATAGCTTTGATCGAGTGGTACTGTCGACAGCACTATTATAATGGCATGCTAGCTCATGTTAAGCAGGCGCGCGACGTTTATCCGAACAGCGAGCGACTGAGGCTCCTGCTCTGTCTGGCGTATATTCTCGTTGGCAAGAGCCACGAGGCCATCAAGGAGAGTTCCAACTTGCTGAACTATGTGGATGTCACGCTGCCAGCATTGCTCGTGCAAAACGTTGCTCTGGTTGATGGCGATGTGGAAAGGAGCACCGTGACACAGATAGAGAACAGGATCCGAGACGAGCGCAGAAAAGCATCCTGTATCGCATTGTGTCTAGCAGCATCCGTGTTACTCCTTTCTCGTCGAGCGGACAAGGCGAAGGAATATGTGGATAGAGCATGCAAATTGAAGCCCACGAATATCAATGTATTACTTGTTAAGGGATGGCTGGAGCTCAGTTTGAGATCAGGCACAGATGCTCCGGAGGCAGGGAACCCTTTTAATTTGGTTTTGAAGGAAGAGCCGAGGAATCTGAACGCGTTATTAGGCTCCGCAGAGATGAAACAACACGCCGGGGACTATCCAGGAGCCATCATGATACTGAACTCCTTGATCGTGCGCTATCCCAAGCAATCGTTTCCGTTGATAGAAAAAATGAAGTGCTTACTGGCAGCGAAGGATTGGGAACAAGTGCTGGAGTTGGTGAATCGTGTGCTCTCGATCGAGTCGAACAACTTAGACGCCATCAAGGCGAGCTCGGTGGTGGCTTTGTGCAGAGACGGCAATTCCAGTGAAGGTTTACCGCAATTACAGCTGTTTCTGCGTAACTTGCTGCTTGCTGAACCGAAGAACGTGTTCCTGCTGATTGAAAACTTGCGACTGTTCTCCAGTATCGCGTTCCAGGACCATGGAATTTTGTTGGAGTTAGCGCGGACAGCCGAGAAGATGCTGCAAGCGACATCGTCGAGCAGCACGGAGCTAATGGCAGAACTGGGTGACTTATATGTCGCGCTGGGCAATGTTAAGGACGCTGAGCGCTGGTACAAGAACACCATCCGCGCAGATCCATCCTCTTTCGCGGCACTGTTGGGACTAGCACGCTGCCAGTTGATACAGGGGTCTGCGGAGGATCTGGAGCAAGCACGGCAACAAGTAAATGAATGAATGCACTAAAAAAATGCATATACTTTTTTAGAGACTAATCTCTAGATGTGTCGATTGACGTGATTGATTGAGTATATAGTATAGAAGTTTATCTTGCGTATATTCCATAGGTGGAGATCATGATGGAGATACAGCCACACTCGACAAACGTGCAGCTGCTGTTCATGTCCGCAAAGATCACTTCTAACGAAAATAGCGTTAAGGCACTCGGTTACCTGGATTCGGCGGCGAATGTCTTGTTAAGAAGCTGCGAGGGTCTTTCTTATGGCTACGAGTATCTTAGCGAGCTTAAACCGGATTTATGCCTTGAAATTGCGAAGCAACGACTGATGTATTCTTTGAACAAGTCCCCGATGAGTGACGAGGTAACTATCGTCTTTAAAGAAGTCAATAAAAGCGAATATACTTTACTAATTTTATTTATTATTATTACTGGATTGTGAGTAAAAAATTGTATCAACCTTGTTTAATTCTGTTCTGCTTTTTAAGGTGGGTAGCGCAATAGAGAAGGAACCGAGCGTCCGCTTGTTAGAACAGCTTGTGGAAGCCTGTCCGGGTTCCAGCGTAGCTTTATTGCTGCTCAGTAAGGCCAGAATGCAAAGCGGCGACTATGAGGGCGCATTAGTTTTGCTCAGGAGATTGTTAGACTCGGTTGAACCGTCCAATGCACAGGCTCACCTCACAATGGCTCAGATTCTGGCGTATCAGGGCATGTATCAGCTAGCCTCGCAGAGCCTGGAAGTTGGCCTGAGCTACAACTTCAAGATCCGAGACGAGCCAGTCTATCATCTAATCGTCGGCATGGTGCAACGAGAGGCCGGCGATCTGCAGAACTGCGTTAAGAGCTGCCAGACAGCCATGTCGCTGGCAGGATTGACTGGCAGCGCCAACAGAAAATCCGATATGACCACATCGGACCGAGCGACGTTGTATCTAGAGCTGATTGCGGCATACAGTAAGGCAAGACGGTTTGCGGAGGCACTGGCGCTTGTCGATGAGGCGAAAGCAAATCTTGCCGGCACCGCTGAACTTGGAAGAATCACCATCGGCACTGCTGAGATTTATTTGGACATAGGAGAACTGGAGAACGCTGTCAGCTGCTTACGGAATATTCGTCCAGGACAACCGTATTACTTACAGGCACACACTAGATTGGCTGAGATCAATTTGAACTACAGGAAAGACCGTCAGGCATTCGCGAAGTGTTTCAGGTACAAAGAATTTAATCTTCATTATCTATTTGACATTATTTTGTTAACTAGTTTTTAAATTTATTGAACATGTTATGTATATGGGACCTAGGATGAAATATTATTATTAAATATCGCCGACATTTGCCTTTCAGAGAATTGGTGGAACATTGTCCTGGACCGAGAACGTACAGCATGCTGGGTAATGCTTACATGTCTATACAAGAGCCTGAGAGAGCAATAGAAGCGTACGAGCGAGCGCTTTCGCAGAATCCGATTAACAAAGTGGAAATTGCAAACGAAATGGGTAAAGCACTCGTCAAAGCACATCAATATGCAAAGGCGATCAGTTATTACAAGGATATAGTGAAACAGGACAATTGCGCTGCTTTAAAATTAGATCTGGCCAAATTGTATATGAAGATGAAACAGTATGACAAGGCGGAAACCACTTTGGTGCAAGAGCTGCAAGGTAATTTTGCCCATTAAAATTAATATTATTATTTTATGTAAAATTAATATTTTATATGAAATGAATATCTACTATATACAAAATTAATAATATTTATAATAATGCTAAATATATTGACCAATCATCTACCTATATTTTTAGTCATAATAATATACTAGATTAAATTCATATCTATTTTTTTATTTTTCTTATATTTAGATAAGAGAGGCGAGTCCGATATCCTGAGCTTGGAGATGCGAGGACAAGAATTGCTGTTACTCGCCAAGGTGCGCGAGAAATCGGGCAACATCAGGGGCGCATTAGCGACTTTAAAGGAAGCCAAGGAGAATCAACACAGGTACATCCAACGTCTCGCTGTTTCGCCGGACGTCGCGGATCAGAGACACATGCTGGCGAATATCTGTCTGACAATGGCTGATTACGCGTCGACTTTACGCAATTATGACGAAGCCATTATATATTATAAGGAGGCATTGGCTCACAAGCCAACAGACGTAAATGCCCTACTTTCCTTGGCGAAGCTGTATATGCAGGTGAATAATATATACGGAATCATTAAATTTTTAAATCCCGAGACTAAAAATCTTGATTTCTAATGGAAATATTAATAGAAGAACCAATGGAATAAAAGTTTCGCGTCGATTTATTAAATGATTACCGAGATTTTCCATACTAATATAAATCTGAATATGTATTTATCAGATGAACAATTTAGACCGGTGCGCGCATAATTGTTCCATCTTGTTGAACGCCGATCCCAACAACGAGGCTGCATCCGTGATGATGGCGGATCTCGCGTTCCGGAAGGTAGATTTCGAGACTGCGGCATTCCACTTTCGACAGTTGTTGGTACGCCAACCCACCTATTGGACTGCCCTAGCGAGATTGATAGAAGTGTCGCGTAGAACAGGTTTCGCATTTGTCAATTTTTTTACTCTCGTTTGAGATATTTTGATAAGGAATTGATGTAATTTGTGTCGTAGGTGCTATGGACGATCTCGACGAGTGGTTGCAACGCGCGCAGGTCGCGATGGGTAGCGGCAACGTCGAAGCTGGCTTCTACTACTGCGCCGGATTGCTGGATTGGCGGACGGGCAAATTGAACTCCGCTCTTCGCAATTTCAACTTTGCACGACGCGATCCAGAATGGGGCCAACAGGCGATCTACAATATGATCGAAATCTGTCTGGATCCGGACGACGACACCACTCTATCGAACGAGGCCTTCAACGACGAGGACGACGATTATCAGGATTCGAGGACGATGGCTTTGAGGACGGCTTACCGACTGCTTCAGGTACATACATTTAATATCAATGTCGTCTTGCAAATCAATTTGATCCAACTTTTTTCTTGTTTGTATCCACCAAAAGCATAAGAAATTTTTATTAAAATATTTTTGATTAGTCTAATTATAGTAATTATTTAAATAAAAGATATATTATTGTAGGAATTGAATCCCAAGGGCAGCCCTCACGAGGAATTAACCCATAAGCTGCTCAGCAACTTTTTCTTATTGGCCACCAAGCAGAAGTCTAACATCGAGAAAGCCCTGCAGGACTGTACTGCGTTGGCTAATCAGGAGACCTTGAGGGATCATGTAGGACCCGCTCTCGGGATGGCCACCGCACACATCTTGCTAAAGCAAACGCCGCGCGCTCGGAATCACTTGAAGCGCGTTAGCAAGAATGTTTGGACGTTCGAGGACGCTGAATACTTGGAGCGTTGCTGGTTGTTGCTGGCAGACATCTACGTGCAATCCAGCAAGTACGAGTTGGCGAACGAGTTGCTGAAACGAGTGCTGCAGCACAACGCTACCTGCGTGCGGGCTCACGAGCTGTCGGGTTAGATTACAATTTAAAATTACAGACTAATTAATACATAAAAGTCGCATTTTAATTTTAATTGCAGAATTCTATTGCAAATTATTGTTCATCTTGACTTTTAGGCTACATCGCCGAGAAGGATCAGAATTATCGCGACGCAGCGGCGAGATACGCTCAGGCCTGGAAATGCGGCGGCAAAACAAAGCTGTCGGTCGGCTACAAGCTGGGTTACTGTTGCCTGAAGGCGAAAGCCTACGCTGACGCGATCGAAGCATGTAACGAAGTGCTGAAGCAGAGTACGGATTATCCGAGGATCAGGAAAGATATCTTGGAGAAATGTATCAATAATCTTCGCACATGAAACATCCGAATTTGTTCAGCTTGAATATCGATTGTTTACTTGTTACTACACATTGTACACACATCCGTCCTCCTTCACTATTGATGTAGATATGTAATAGTTTAGAGTGAATAAATATTTAGATATTACTTAATCAATGTAGTATATTTCTGAAACATTTAGCAGTTTGTAATGGTTTGTAATATTAATCAAATTAATATTAACCAGTTTATTTGTTAGTAAAATATACGTTAAGACGATAACATCAAAGTTGCGAAACGGACGAAACGATCACTAAAATTGACGATTATTGGTTAACGATTAACATAATGATTAATTGGCCATGGTTATCTTACAAATCTATTCTTAGACTCCAGTTTAACACATTAGTTTACTATTATCCGCAACTAATGGAACGTTTTGTATCTTTAAATGTAACGATTATTCTAGTTTCTTCTGCGAAGTTAACTTATAGACAATTATCGAGACGTTATAATTTATCATAACAACTTAAAATTCTGCTTGATCGACGAGCGAGATTTACAGGTCCAGGTACATAATACGCGTGGCCGAAGCCGCGCCGCACAGTGCCAGAATACTGGCGACGTAAATCACTGCTGCGGTAGTGCCCGTGAAGCTAACGATCGTGCCTAAGCAGCAGGATAGCAGGAACTGCGCGAGGAATACCATAGAAGAGACGATGGCGACATCGGTCCCTAGACCGCGCACAAAGCCGCCGGAAACCGCATTGCCCTCGGTTGTCAGGGCGAATGTCGAGGACGCATGATAGTGTGCTATAAGTAGATAGGGCATGGTAAATAGCGTAGAATACATGACGCCAGCGGCCCACGAGAAGATGATGACGCCGACCGGATGCTTTGTTAGGGCCATTAGGAGCATGCCGACGCTGTAGAAGAGTAGCCCGTAGATGTAAACCTGGATGTGCATAAAAATATTCAAAGATGTAAACGTGAATGAAATATTTCGAAGATATTGTTTCTATTTTAGACATTCTTTCTCGATCATAGCGTGATTAATTACCTATGTATAATTGCAATTTAAAAACTTATAACTTTATATTTATTAAATGATGTAAGACTTTCCATATGATAGATTGTCGGCTATATCAAGACATCCAGAGAACGTTTACAGTGTTACAATAGATATACTCAAGTACATGTCATATAGATACCGAAACATTGTATATCAAAGTTCTATCGGACAGTGTTCTGCTAGAAAGTGCTTATATTGCTTGCAAAGTATTATTTCTATTATTATTAGTCTTATAAATATTCGTAAACATTCTCTGGAAGAATCTTAAGTTTCCCGGGGCCCTCCCACTAACGCACGCGAGGACAACCGTGGAGTTTTAGCCGGTAAGAATTCGGCACTTCCCCCGTCTTTTCCAGAAGGCGGGGGGGGGTCTTCCCCCTCTTGAGGGGGCTACTGGGTAGTGCATGGGTAAACCGGGCTCGCCCGGGATCCCAGTAGTCGAAGATTTCTCCACGTTAAAAAAAAAAATATTTGCAAACATACTTTAAGAAATATAAATGTAAAAATATCAATCTTAACTTAATATGAAATTGTAGAGAACCAAGGATTTTTTATGTCGAATTGAATTGAATCGAATTTAATTTCCTTTTCCGAATTTGAATCGCAAATCGAATCGACAAAATTTTATTCGAATCGAAGCGAATTAAATGAAATAAAATCAAATCGTTGAAATATAATTTTTAATTAACAATATAATTCGATATTATTAGATTAAATTTTAAAACGTAGAGTCGTAGGTAATATCATCAATTATAGAAATCATAGAATCATAGAATTTCGATTCGTATTCGAATAGTTCGCACATCTCTAATTATTTGATATTAGTATTTCTTAAACGTAATAAAGCTCTTACTTTACGCGCTCGGAAACGCTGGATCAGCCGCTCGATGATCAACGAGTAGCACGAGCAGGATAACGAGTACATGGACATGCCCCAGCATCCGAATCGCACGCCCTCCTCGTAGAGTTCCCGCTCGTCGGTGTCGGCGGGTGCCCGCGGATTCCCGCCGAATACCGCCTCGCCCACGAAATCCGTGAAGTACAGGGAGTAGCATACATGCGCCATCCAGCAGAAAAGATTCGTCAGGCACACCTGGCGAAGACTACGCGGCATGTAAACGATGGACAGCAGGTACTCCTTCAGGGTCGCCTTGTGGTTCGCTTCGCTCTCGATATCGTCGAAGCCGTAATTGACGTGGCTGCCTTCGGAAATAGGTTCCTCGGAATGGTCAGAGAGTTGCGTCTGAAAGCGGACGGAGGGTGAATTCCTTAATTGATAATTTTGACACTAGCGTCTATCAACAATCTTTTTCTATCAAGAAATTGATACATGTTTCCACTAGTTTCTCAATCGCAGATAAAGATCAGACAGTTAAACAGTTTTTCACTTCAGTCAAATCATGAAAAATTGTAAATAAAATGAGAACGCTAAGCTGAAAAGTGTCATTGGATTAAATATCGGGACAATACCGGCCCTATTAAAAACATTTTTATATTTTCTCAGAAATTTTCTAAATATTTCTCATGTTTTAGTAGATTTATGGAAAATTAAAAAAAAATATGTAAAATTTTTCAGATACCTACTTTCAGAAACAAGTGGATGAGGATTTTCGGAATGTTTCAGTATCTATATGTATGAAAATTTCTGCGAAAATGCATGGATTTTCTCATATTTATTCAAATTTCTACAACGATGTGTTGGCAGGAAAAATCTGAAATATTTGTTATTATTTTATTTGAGTTTCTAAAAAAACATTTCAATTTGAAATGTTTATAAAAAAAATCTAAAAATTTTGAAAGTTTTAAAATTTTCATAGAAATTCTGACTAATAATATAAAAAATTCCGAGACATTTTTCCATCAGGGTAACATTTTCGAGCTTACTTCCGTTTGCAAGGAATCCGTCTCATGCTCAGTATTAAGCGCACCGTACGTTTTCGACTCGTCAGGGATAATCTTATCGCGTTCGTCTTGCTTCTCTGTCCCTTGGACTTCTTCCAGAGCCTAAACGCAAAAAGAATTGTATTAAGTGATAAATAAAAATGACAGTAACATTATATATAGAAGCCACGTTCACCTTCGGCTCGTTCATTTGCCGGTACTGATCTCGCTCAAGTAATTGGAGAGGAATCTCCTTGAAGCTGGTAATGGTACATATGACACAGACGATGAAGATGATCGTGATGAGAGTGAAGGTCGCGTGCACATGTCCGCCCAGCATAATACCGAGCGATGTGGCGTCCCAATTGATGCCGCCTAAACCGTAGCCCATAAAGCCCCCCAAGCCTGCCATTATGGTGAACGTGCTTAAGCCTTTGGCATGGTCCTCTGTGAATATTTCAGACGTTAATCAAAGAGAAAAATCGCTTGTAGAGTTTATTAAAATTGTATATAATTATCTCTCTCTCTCGCTTGGTTTTTTTTACCTACAATATTCGTGTTCGTATTTAAAAAGATTAAATTGTATTTTAATTTGTCGATTCGAACGGGATTTATGTCGAATCCTGGAAAACACATATGGATGCTTACCAGGTACAGTGACATCAAGGAGATACGCCCTCGCTGGGCTCTGACAGGCGTCGGCGTCGAAGTCAAGCAACACCGTGCCGAGAATAGTGAAGAAGATGCCCCAGGAGTGCGAAGAAGCCCTTTCAACAGATTCGAGCGTTACCTCCTCGGGTAACTTCGCCGTTGTGCGATGTCCGAGCGGGATAGTCTCGTTCGTGCGGAACGGCATGTCGCCGAACAGGTAGCCAACGTGCTCGCCATTCGGTACCAAGATGAGTCCTGTAAAGGTGCAAAAATTCGCTTGTTGATGCTGAGATATACGTCACAAGAACATTTAAAACGTCTTAAGATAAGAACGGCAAATACGGTAAATAATTTAAAAAAAGCGAAAAATCTCTGGTGGAAAGAATTTTTCATAATCATCAGAATTTCTATGAAAATTTCAAGACTCAAAATTTGACTCAGAATTTTTACACGAATTAGAATACTTTCCAGAAAAATTTAGACAAAATAATAATAAAATATTTCAGATCTTTCCCGTCAACATTTTTGTAGAAATTTGAATAAGTATGAGAAAAATGGAAAATTCACGCAGTTTATCAGAAATTTTCATACAATATTGAAATATCCCGAAAATCTTCATTCAATTATTTCTGAAAGTATCTGAGAAATTTTACATATTTTTCAGAATTTTTTGTAAGTCCAAAATATGAGAAGTTTTTAGAAAATTTCTGAAGAAAATATGAGAATTTTTTTCACCACAGGGACATCTCCGAAATAAAATAAATAAAATGAAGAAAATATAAAAAAGTCCACGGCTTGCCTATTAAAACTCCGAGCGCTAACAGGAGGATGAAGGGTCGCCTCCTGCCGTACTTGAGTCTACAGCGATCGCTCATACTGCCGAGAATGGGTGTCACGAAGAAGCCTACGAGGGGGCTCAGCGCCCACACCAGGGTCATGTGCTGGTGATCGACGCCGATCTTCAGGAGCGTCGGCGAGACGAAAGCGGTCTCCGCCGCGTACGAGAACTCGATTCCCATTACGGCCGCCGATACCCTCACCAGTTCGGCGCGGGTCTTCTTCCTGAGATTATTAGGAAAAACAAATAGAGAAAAAGAAAACTGATACAACATATCTAGCATATAATATTACACTGTTAAATATTAAAGAATGAAATTTAAACCAGTATCTTGAGTCAAATATTTTATTTGTAATTACCATGTGTGTCGAAATTTATTATTTTAACTCTATTGATCTAGTTAAATTAACATTGTTTTAGTTAAATTTACGATATTAAGTAGGAGCAGTGGTGACCTATAAGAGTGGTTACAAATAACTCAAATTGAGTATAATTTGACACTATGAATTTAACTGTATAATATATATATTTCTATTAAATGTAACATAACATAGTTTGCAGGAGTTAATTTATGGGATAAAATCTCGGAATCGAACCTGGGACCCCATCAAATACGAGTCGATCTTTCACACGGAGCAACTCACTACATCTCATGTATAATGTTATTTTAAATATTCCCAGATAGCAGAGTGGCGTCAAGTGGCGTAATAGTGCAGTCAAAGTGACGGATTGTTGTCGTTAGAGACGTCACTTTGACGGCATTATAACGTCATTTGACGCACTCTGCTATCTGGGTTTATATTACATAATTATATTATGCATCTATACAAGAACAAAGGGATTAGTTCGACAGTACATTGATATACGTTAAGAGCTAATTGAATGTGAAATTCTTTACCTGTAGATGTGAGAATAGTCGTCCAAAGTGCGCTCTAATTTAGGCGGCCCCCGTAGATGATGCCTTAACCCTTCCAAGCCTTGATCCAGATTCAGACTGTTTTTCCATTCTTTCCACACGCTCCATCGTTCCCTGATGGCGTCGCGAACACCGTGAATCCTACCCATGAGTCCCTCATACTCGTGCAATTTGTCCACCATGATCAATCCCTTATCTCGCGCGACACAGGGTAAGCGATATAACGGTGGGGCACTCGAGTGTGTGGAGAAGTGTCATTGTTCAAAAAGGTGTCACTGGGCGAACCGCAATTTCCATATTTTTTTCTCGCGGACTATTATAAGTGTCAACTGTAAAAAAAATATTGTTATTAATCACACAAATATCTCTCTTAAAGATAATTTCAAGAAGAAACATAGATACTTTTATAAAAAATTCCATTTTAGTTTCTCATTTATTTCAACAAGTAGGAAATAAATCAGCTTTGTAAAAGAAATAAAAATGTAATCTTAATCTTTTTTATTGACTAACCATGATTTTATTTTATATCTGTCATAATGCGCGAGACAGATTGATCTTTTCGAATTAGGAAACTCCGCGTTGCATTATTCGTTGCGTTACATCATCAATTAAATATGAGCAACCCAAGCAACAAGAGATGGCACAAAGAACTCTCGATCTCAATCATCGTTGGCGGAATTTTGGCAGAAATACGAGTCGGTTTACGAGTCGACTGGACCACATCGCGAGCCGCGCGAGAAAACGCGGACGCGGACGGACGACTGACGACTGATCGCTGCAAGCTCGCCGCGGGAGCAAGCACGAAAGCTCGAGAAACGCCCGCGCAATCTCAGGAGAGGCACTCGCGAGACTCGCTTGATTCTCGATTCACTGAAATGAGTTTTCCGCGTATCGTTCAGAGGGTAGCTCGTTACTCCTGAAATCTCGTTGCTCCTAGTCAATGTGCCAAGACAGATCACTTCAATTTCAAAAACGACAAGTCGATGAAATTCACAGACTGACGTGAAAATCTGCGATTTCGAGTCACCTTGCGAAATCGATCTGTTTGGAAAAAAAAAAGATTACTTTATAATTATTGTAAAAATATCAAAAATACTGAAACAATCTTCTTACAATTGAATGAGGGAAAGATTTTTCGCCATCAGTACCGCGCAGTTCGAGCGATCATTTTGTTTCTACGAGTAAATCTGGGAGATCCGTCGGACTTTGCCGTTGTATTTTTCTTCATGGTAACGGCGGGAGGTTTACGCGATGTTCAATAAGGGGTGGAACAATCTCTCTCTCTCTCTCTCTCCCGGCATGGCACATGCAATCCGATTACCGCGTATAGCGGTAAATGCGTCTCGGCAAATCGAGCAAACACGAAGGTCTATTCATTTCGTCTCTCTCCGTCTTCTTCTTGCGCTCCATCTCACCCTCGTTAAATAAATAAATTACGGGGAAAAACGACGGTACGAAATGAGGAAATAAATGAGTTTTATGGGGACAACAAAGTGTGTATAGATCGATTATCGTTTATCGGCCTAATACGTAACTTTGACCAAGGCCATTCACGCAACGGAAGCTCCGCGCGTTGTAGGTCTTCGTGGCCGCTGATGTTCCGCGCTCGATATATCCCAGGCGAAGCTTTAACAGTGTCAACCTCCTAAATTCTCTTTAGAATATCGAACGCCGCTGTAAAATTAAATCCTTGGGCATCCGGGAGGCTCTCAAATCCTTTCTTTATCCTTACACATCTGCAAAAAAAAAAATCTTAAGAATATACGAACTAACGCGATTTTAATCTTACTTTTTCAGAGTAATTTATCTTGAATAGCTTCTTCTTCTCTAATTGAGATCGTGCTAAAAGCAAAATGTCTTTTGCAAAATGGAAATGATGTCATGCTAACGCTCAGTGAATAGGGATTATAAAAATAGCTTGAAAACGAGATGATATATATAAGGAGATTTCGCTCTTTTCATTGCTTTGAATTTTATTCTTGGACTTTCGAAGTTTCCCCTGCGCGGTCTAAAATAATCCAGGTTTTCCGTCCTCGGAAGTAATACACTTCGAGGGATGTGAGTTTATTTCTCCGAAGGACGGAGCGAAGCCGATTGAAACCCAGCCTCACCCGGCCTTTTAAAAGAAACGCGGACGAATGCGGCAGGATACAATTCCCTCGCAGGAAATTACGTCCGCGAGTCCGCGCGTCAGTGGAGCGCTTCATTAACACGCGGTGCTATTTTCCACGCGCTTTTAAACCGCGGGGGATCAATATTCATTGTCGTCACCGTTGATATCGTCGATGTTGTTAAATGCTCGAGGGGACGCATTATCACCGATATGGGTTTCCAAGGGATAGGTATCGATACAAGATTTCGTATCACGACCGGAAATACGGAGAGTCAAGGCCGCGACGAGATCCGGAGATCGGAACGTCGTCGGACGGTTCCAATAAGGGAGTCTGATCAAGATCCGATGAGGGTCCGGCGAGATAAACCGCATCCAGATAGATAGAGAGTGTGCGTATTAGTGGTGCGTATAGGATTTGGCGGACGTCAATAGAGTCGCAATTAATAGTTTTCGCTCGTACCTTACTTGTTCTAATTAAGGCATCCCGAGTGTCCCGGTACGCGCCAATCGCTTCCGCAGGGCCGGCGCGAGAGATCAGATCGGATATTTTCAAGGAGTCACTCATCATTCATCACTGAAAATAATGGTTAAGATATATTTATCTCTATATAATTTATTAAGAACAAAAATAATCGGATCCGCACTATATTTATTAATTTATTAAAAAGAGAGAAAGTAATATAATTGTATGTTAATTAATTAAATTAATTTTCATTAAATAAATTATATTTAATTATACCAGATAGCGTTGCAAAAAGCAACTATTATTCTAGTCATAAGAAGAATGAAAACGAAACTATAGTTCCAAGAACATTCTTACTAATCTCTCAGAGCAATCTTTTAGTTAAACCAATTAAGTCTTATTAACTCTCTTTATTTTGAAAGATCGCAATTCTTATGCTTTTGCAATTTTTCGTCGCAAATGCTATTAGTTAGAGATATCGATTTATTAAAGGTTTTATTTCTTTTTTATTCTACTTTCATTAATGTAGGTTGTACAACACAAATGTATAGCTTTTTTATTTGAAATTACATTGTATATAATTTTTAAATAATATATTAGATTGTGCATCTCTCTTAGAAAGTTAGCTTTTATCATCAGCTTCTTACAATTTCTATTGCAAAAAAGTTTTTCAATTCTCCTGTAAAGCTCAGATCGTTATATAGCTTCGCCCAAAGCTTTAAAGCAGATAAACGAACCTTCTTCACTATCTTCTATCTTGATATTTAACGATACAATGCGGTTAATTCATGCGTTTCTCATCGAGTCTATCGTGGCGCTAAAGAATCTACTGTCGACCCTGCGCATTCCTTTTGCCATTGGCCCATATTCGTCTAAATATCGCGCCGTACCCGAGGCAGTTAGGGTCGCGGCCACCGAAAGTGGTGAATGGCGAGGCCGCTGTCACCCATGAAAAAACGTCGCGCCTCTTCGTCGATGTATCTCGTCCCGATTCCAAAAAGCTTCCGCAGCATCTCAAGGCCGACGACTTCCACGTGTGCCCCTTCAGCATCATCTCTTTGAGGAGGGTGAGAAATGTATCTGTTCATGTTTCTCTTCACTTTTATATTTTGTCATATAAAATTTGTATAAAAACGGTATAGTTATATATTTAATCACAAGCATAAATTTGAAAAATAAGTCACCGTTTTGTCGGACTGTACAATTTCACAATGACAGCAGGATAACAATAAGAATTCTTTAAAATTTTGCTCGCAAATAAGATAAAAATCGCTAGGAATGTCCCCGGGATAGTACCAAAGTTATTTATATCAATATCTTGTGATATCAAAGATATCCAGAAGATCAACGCCGAAGAAAATACCTACGACAATGACTTACCAAATGAATTGATAATCCGAGAAGCACAGAAATCCTTTCGACGATAGCGATCGATATAAAACTAATCCTCTTTAATCCTCGGGGCAACAATCGAATGGTCTCTCGAATCTCCCTTTCTTGTCGAAGTCAACGATCTCGGTACACTGCGTAAAACACTCGGTAAATTGCGATTACACTTTGTGTTTTTCCGGCATTACATCATTCCACAATTTGTAAACGACAGAATTAACCGATCGCTCCCAAATAAAGGAGCGTGTTATCGACTTTTTTGTGGGCGATTAAATCTGGACATCGCAGATCAGACGATCGTAATCTCTCTCGACATCCATCTACGTTGATAACAAATATATCTCGAATGACACTTTAAATACCTATAAATATAATCATTATATTAGACGTTTTAAAGTGTATGTAAATATAGACATTTGTTCAACATAATGTTGTTTTTAAAATAAAATATACGCATACATGTGTATCTCTCCAGAAGATTATAATTTAGAACGGATAAATAGAGCTAAAGTAAATTACGAACTTGAATTTTAAAGGTCAAAGCGATATTAAAAGAATGCTATAAGGGACAAGAAGTAAAAAGTAATCTTTTGAAGAACGCAAAATTTAAATGTGTTATTTTATTTTAAATGGATTGGATTATGGTTTAATGAACTATTATATATTCTATTTTAAATGAAATTTAGATTGCGTAAGATCTTATTGAAATATTTTTAAGAACTTTAACGATTTGTTGAAAATATTAAAAGACGTATATTCCAACTCAGATCGTATTTCTTATCTAAATAGCTTTGGAAGGAAAAATATAATTTACATAATAAGTCGATACATATATGTCGTTTATTTTTGGACTTTGTACTCGCGATCGCAATCGAAAGCCGTGCACGTGTCTGTCAACGAGTCAGTAACGCGTTTGTCAACATCGAATCAATCGATTCTTTTTAATCGGGATAAAATACTTTACTACTCTCATACAATAAATGATTCAGACACCCGCAAAAGGCTTCCCTAGATATTTCAGCAGCCTCGATTATAAATTAAGTCCGACAAAGATGAATATTTCATGTTTCGTCCGATAAAGATGAGAATTTCACGTTTTTATAGAAAATTTTATAAAGATATAAATTTTAACATCAGTTCCAATAAAGTTTTAATTATTTAATAATGAGATATCAGAAAAAATTCTATATTAAATAAAGTACATTTTATTAGTTTTATGTATTAAATATTTAAATGTTTTTCGCCTTAAAAATAATTTATATTATATAATTAATATTATTTTTCCACGTCAAAATATTTTCTTATTATCTAATTGTATTAAAATGCAATCTAATAATAATAGTTAATTAAAAATTATATTTCAACGATTCGATTCATTTCGATTTAGATAAAATTTCGTCGATTTGATTCGATTCAAATTCGATTCGAAAAAGAAAATAAAATTCAATTAAAAAATTAAAAAAATCTAATTTTTGTATATCTTTATGGTGTTGGTACAATCCGAAACAAAGAGATGATTAATTTTTTTCAAGTTTAAAGTAGTATTTGACTCCGATTAGATTTGTCCGTAAAAATCTTTCCGCCGATTTGATTTCGCGACTATTTACGTATGTAAAATTCTTTTCCGTTCAGGTGTGTGTGGACGCGTTATCGTTTTATATATAAATAGCACGTTGCACGTTGAACTGATCTTGTCACGCAATCGCTGGCGCCTTCGCTTTCGGAAATGCGGAATTGCCCACAATTATTTTGTACTTGCGAGATGAGCGACGATGACGAATCGCCGTTTTTGTATATATTCTTATCACATGGAAAATTCCAAGAAAACATGGGATCAATCGCGTAGATAATAAATAGGCACCGGTAAGCACCGTCTTTGTCACTTCCCTATTGGCCCTCGGCGATCGCCAGATAATGCCGTTCGTAGTGGAGGTTTTATTTGTCAAGAGAGAAGCGCGACAGACAAATAATACGTAAGAAATGGGGGGAAAGTGGCATCTTTTACACGTGCTACCGTTTTATGACCTTTTAACGTCGCACTGGCGTTTTTACGAGTAAGCCGTTGGCGGGTTCACGTTCCTCGAACATGATACTCCGAATATCTCGGAGCTGTATGTTATGATTAAGGTATCTCAGGTTGATGCAAAAGGTCTGGCATATTTGTCAAGTAAAATCGAAAACAAATTTACAGTGAAGCAAAATTGCCGTCGCGAGCTCTTCTTCATTTAGACAGAAATTTTTCAATTATTTTGTGGTATTTTATTTAAATTTACCGAAATAAAGTTTGAAGGAGTAATTCATCTGCTTTACTTGTAAAGCTCTAACAATTCTACAGTATAATATCAAATTGTTTTTATAAATGTAAGAAACGCGAATGTTGTTTTGCACAATCAATAGTATGATTTATATTCTGCACAATAATTTTATAAAATTGTTAAGATTTTGACAATAATCTTTTATTATCAATTTATTACAAATTGTATAAAATTACCTAACAATTTCGAGGCATTCTATATATCTTTTTCTCAGCTATATCGAACGTTCGCGTTATTGTTTCCGAACTCAGACTCACGTGACGGTTTCTTATATCCCAATACGAGATATGACATCTTTGACATCACAAACCTTTCTGCATGACGCATCTCAATGAATGTGCATCTTGTTAATACCTGAAATCGGGAAATCGTTATCTTCTGTATTTAAGCGCGAGGAATCACTCAGATTCACGTGAATGATAGATCTCTTAATTAGTCTTAATACGGTAATAAAGTATTGCTGAGATGTTACATAGAAAGTCAGACCCGTGAAAAACGTATGAATATATAAAAATGAATAGATTGGCGATTGTTGATAGATAAATTAAGAAGGTAATTTATAAAATGTATGGATAATGAATAGATTTATGATTGTCGATGAATCAAGAAAATAATAAAAAGAATGTATAAAGCTAAAAAAAGGTTACCCGGCCAGTGAAACAATATATTTTACATTTTAACAATTAACAGTTCTAAAAAAATTGCCTTACAAAGTGATGAGCAAGGACAATCGAAAATAACGAATTAAAAATGAATAAATAATTTATTGCGTGTTGAACGTCGAAAATATTCGCCGCAGCGAATACGCAGCTTTATTCACGTGATTGATAAATAATATATTCATAATTCACATGCAATAATAAATTAATATGACGGGTGACTTTAGGTAATATATGTTTGATGCTGCAGATCTCTTATCTCTTATCATCTTATGACTGAAACTCGAACAAATTAATGACGTAATAAAATATTGCCCGCATGACACAATTTCACGAAGGGACGTTATCTTGTGAAATTGCGACGAAATAATAACGATCAAACAAGCAAAAAGTGCTTGTCAACTTCCGCGTGCTCGGATCGTAAATTATGTGTTTGTGAGTTTACGTCATAAATATAGCAATCATTTTGCATTAGGCGTACACGTTTATTATGCATCCAGAAATTATCGCCAAAAATTAACGAACAAATTTTAATCGAAAAACCATGCAAAATACTGATAAATATATTTTATTAATAATAATTAAAAAAAGATCAATACGTTATGTGATAAAAAATCTATGAAAATATAACTTGGATTTTTATTTACCTCCTTCGGCTTAATTCTTTGTTGCACAAATTTTTCTGTTTAATATTTTGAATGTTAATATATGGAGGTTTTTGGGGTTGCTAATTGTAAATTAAAATTTAATAAATCAAAATGGCGGATATATGTCAGCCAAGTTAAAAGGAAAATTATAAAATTTTATACATAAAAGTTTTTTAGGTTTTTGATTTTATATCTACAGTCAAAATATGAAAATACAAAGCAAAGTGTCAAGTTTCAATTTTAATAAAATTTTACATACACATAGGTGAGGTAAATAGATGAGTTTAGAAATTATCAGTGATATAGCGGAAAAATTAATTACATACATTTATGTTATTCTTGTATGAATACAAGTCTTAGAAACGTATAACGATACGATAAATACATAAAGCAATTATATGAGATAAAACACAGGAAAGCTGCGAAAAGTAGGTGTTCCCATATAGGGACATTATGCAACAAAGGGTTAAGGATAGAATAATCGAACACAGTTATTAAAAATGTGGCCATTAGTAAGTAACAGTTTACGTTAAATTTATATTTAATTATATTTAATGTATAAATTAGTTTCTTTTTTTTTAATTGCAGAATGTTTCTTACCACACTTACTAGTTGACCCGTGTCGACTTATCTTCTCCTTTTCTTTAGATTGTTCAAATCATCATAAAGCCGTCTTTTATATGCCTTTAAATCCCTTACTTTCTTTCCACGCGGATTTTCTTATTTTGGGAAAATCCGAAGGCTCCTCAGCCCCTCTTCTCGCGGAGGCGGATATGATATCTTATCTCACAAATCAGTCAAGGTGCGCGAAGCAATCCATGGTCCATAATCATTCGTCCGATCGCGACCGCGCGAAGAAGCGGCTGCTCGCCGACCGTCCGGGTTTCTTTTCGCAGAGAGACGGAAACTTCGCGAAGAGAGGAACTTCTCGCAGAGTTCTTCTGACTGACTACTGATCTTGCTGTCCGCCGATCGACGTCACTTACCTAGGGGCGGTAGTCCAACATCAGGGGTGGAATTCACGGTAGCGACGCCGACAGGATACCACCTTGGCTGTTCACCGTTCACCAATGAACGTGGGGCGTCGCCCTTGTCAAGTAAAACATCGCGGCAACTGCAGCAGCAGCACCAGAAAGCGACGGCACTGCGACGGCACGTCCACGAAGGAGAACTTCCGACGCGCGAGCACCTGCAGAACGTCCAGCGATTTAAGCGGCGATCATGGGTAAGTTCCACCTCGAGATGTTTGACTATTTCATTAATGATTAATTATTATTATCATGAATAATCATTATCCGTATTTTGTGTTCAGTTATTTTAAGGTTTTTCTGTGAAAATTTTTATATCTCGCAATCGTATTTTCTAACAATTTCTATTTCAAATTTAATAAAAAATGTAAAAATGATTTAGTTGAAAGGTGTTATTCACTTTTTTTTTATTCTTCTTGTTATAGGACTCGACTTCCTGGCAGACGGAGGTGCCGACTTCGAGCATGCAATCACCGTAACAGGTAAGGAGAATTCTGTGAAAAAATTAAATATCTAATGCCTATTAACCCTAGAATCCATGAGAGGGGTCGATTTCGACCCCAGGCAAACTTTAAAAAAAGAGGTTTTTGCTGATTTTCTGCATTTTTCGGTCTTTAAATGTCTTTTTTCACTAACTAAACTTGAGTAAAATTAAATTTACCGTATACCATTCTCTTCGTTATTAAAAAACGAAGAAATTCATGTAGGTTTAAAGGCCCTTTATTTCTGTAGGACCGGTTTTACGATCAAATAAAGCGTGGGGTCGATATTGCCCCCAGTCATGGATTAGAAGGTCAAAAAAATGATACATGGATTCTAGGGTTAATCATGCAATTTTACCACAGTTTGAGACATTTCATAAAATTTTACGACAATTTATGAGCGTTATCGAAATCTAAAAAAAAGAATCTAAAGACATCAGAACTTTTGCGGGATCGATCATCTCGCGCAAGATGATCCTTAATATTGATTACAATTCTCCATCAAATCCATCAAATTTTCAAATCATGGATCTTATCAAATCCAATGTGCGTTAGGTTTTGGAAGGTTCCATTACATGCTGCTGGCCGTCTGCGGCCTGATTTATATGGACACGGCGATTGGCGTGACGATACTTTCGTTCGTACTTCCGGCGGCGCAATGCGACCTGGAGATGGACTCTACCGCGAAGGGTTGGCTGACCGCTTCTCCGATGCTAGGTCGGTGTTTGTCTCGTCTCTCGTTTCGTCGGCGCCAGCCTTTATTTATCGAAGAACATCGTTTAGATTGATATGTGAGATACTTTTGCAGGTATGTTGATTGGATCGTACATATGGGGATGCCTGGCTGACACAAAGGGTAGGAAAATCGTTTTGATAGCTACGCTGCTGATGGACGGCGTCGTGGGCATCGTGTCTTCGTTTGTTCAGTACTTCTGGGTGTTCCTGATCTTCCGGTTCTTCAACGGCTTTGCGTGAGTATGGATAGGATAGACTCTCTGCTAAAAATGAAGTCAATTTTTCGTTAACGAAAATGTCGAGAATAAACATTTAAATCAGAATTTTCTAATTAATAGGGGACTTATTGTTAGCCAATAGAATTAGAACACTGTTAAAATAAAGTCCACTTGAAATTATCTAAGAAATGTGTTGGGCATCTATTTTTATTCCCCTGAAATCCTATAATTGTTTGGAAACGTTTGTACCTCGAAACTAGAAATTAAAATGCTTATTATAGCTCGCCTCATTTTCGTTAAATTGACTTTGCTCTTATTGAAAAATCTGTCATTCAAATAAAAATGGAGAATCAATCATTAAGATTATTATCATGCACATATAGAATAATATGTAGAAAGTTCTGTATACATGATATAATATAATATAATATAATATAATATA